ATATAGTGCTTTGTGAACACAAATTAGTTATCATAAATCAGTTAAATGACGAAAAATTAGGTGTCTATTTACTTGTGACAACGCTGTTTACATACATATTAAATTATTTCTTGGTTTACAAAATTAAATAATGAAATAACCAGACTGACATAATCCACAAGATAGCAGAGAATATAAAGTCGAGGCAATGAAGGTAAAACCAAGGCCGAATGTCTTGGGTGAGAGGTCGTCGTACCAAAAGTCCAGGCTTTGTGTTTGCTACTACGACTAAGATCTGCACCAGCGGCGGCTCTAGAAGGGCTCACGCCCGGCACCTACAACGCTCGTCGCTGTGACCCTCCTACGAGCTCCGTGGAATTACAGTACGAACTTTTCGATACGCGGCCCGCCATGCTAAACACTGGGCCACGTCCAGCCCAATCATCATTAGAAACACAACACTAAATAATCAACCACAGTATAATAAAATCAAAATACAGCCTATAATCCAATCTAATATAAAATAAAACAATCAATATTTGTAAATAACAAGACAAAACCCTCATGTGAACAAATTAGACTTATATATACTTAATGAACACGTCAAAATAAACAAAATACCATGACACTTATTACATTACAATACAACGTAAAAGTTAATAAAATTAGCAAAAATTACACCTCACAAAAAATCCTTTCATAGAAACGCAGAACATCCTTACAAATCATGCATAACGCCTGAGATATCGTCACTTTCCGAGGTAAGAGTGCATAATGATCCAGATACTTCACTCACTAAAGTAAGAGTGTATAATGATCCAGATACTTCACCCATTAAGATAAAAGTGTATAATGATCCAGATACTTCACCCACTAAAGTAAGAGTGTATAATGATCCAAATACTTCACCCACTAAAGTAAGAGTGTATAATGATCCAGATACTTCACCCACTAAGATAAAAGCGTATAATGATCCAGATACTTCGCCTATTAAGATAAAAGTGTATAATGATCTAGATACTTCACCCACTAAGATAAAATTGTATAATTATCTAGATGCTTCACCCACTAAGATAAAAGCATATAATGATCTAGATACTTCACCTATTAAGATAAAAGTTTGTAATGATCCAGATACTTCACCCACTAAGATAAAAGTGTGTAATGATCCAGATACTTCACCTATTAAGATAAAAGCGTATGATGATCCAGATGCTTCACTTATTAAAATAAAAGTGTATAATGATCCAGGTACTTCACCTATTAAGATAAAAATGTATAATGATCCAGATACCTCTCTACTAAGATAAAAGTGTGTAATGATCCTGATACTTCACCTACTAAGATAAAAGCGTATAATGATCCAGATATTTCACCTACTAAGATCAAAGTGTATAATGATCCAGATACTTACCCACTAAGATAAAAGTGTATAATGATCCAGATACTTCCCCTACTAAGATAAAAGTGTATAATGATACAGATACTTCGGCTACTAAGATAAAAGCGTATAATGATCCTGATACTTCACCTATTAAGATAAAAGCGTATGATGATCCAGATGCTTCACTTACTAAGATAAAACTGTGTAATGATCCAGATACTTCACCTACTAAGATAAAAGTTTGTAATGATCCAGATACTTCGTCTACTAAGATAAAATTGTATAATGATCTAGATGCTTCATCGACGAATATAAAAGCGTATAATGATCTAGATGCTTCACTTACTAAGATAAAAGTGTGGAATGATCCAGATACTTCACCTACTAAATAAAAGTGTGTAATGATCTAGATACTTCACCTACTCAGATAAAATCGTATAATGATCCACATACTTCGGCTACTAAGATAAAAGTGTGTAATGATCCAAATATTGCACCTACTAAGCTAAGAGTGTACGCTATCTTAGAACTTTTTAATTACTGAATGTATAGTATCTCAGAACTCCTCATTATACTGAATAAAATACATAATGCCTTATAACTCTTGACAAGAGTGCTTAAGCATCCCACAACACTCCAGCTACCCAGTAAAAAGTGTGTAATGTCCCAAAACTTTTAATATAGTAAGATAAACAAGACAATATCTCAGTCTCAGAAATCTTCACCTATCTTTAAAACTGATTATATTAAGAATTATAAATAGATATATGAATAACAAAAAGTTAGCCAGAGGATAGTTGCTCCATGGCGGAGAAAACATGAGTTATAAAGGTAGATGGAAATTTGAATTGTCATAAGCCTTTTTTTTTTGGCTGTGAACTTATAGACGGGTATATGATAACAATTATCTTTCCTTGTGAAAGAATAAAAAGTTTATAAGTCTTACCTGGTCAGGAGCAATTTTGAAGTTTGTCCACGATAATGGGTCACACGTTTCATACTTGGTATAAATGACCAACCCAGCCATGCATGAAATCGTCAATAAAACCGATAATCCAGGAAGATTCAGCCAGAGAGCCCTGATAATTTTGGGAGATAAGGATATAACGAAGAATCATGAGAATAAAATTAAGAGCTGTAACACATTAAGACATGACCAAATAAAATTAAAATAAGCTCAGTTGTAAAAAAACAAAACACACAAAAAAACGACAATGTTTAATAGTGCCGATAAATATATGTGCTTTTCAGTGGTAATGTTCCTTGTCATTCACAACATATAGCTGTTAATGGTTACAAATATGGATGTCAATTGTAAAATTAACAATTCATTAATTATTACGACACAATGAGAATTATTCCCGTGTTGCATTATTGTGGAAAATTCTAATCTAAAATAGAGAAGATATTGCTTGTAACACTTACGTCTGCGCACCACGTAGTGTCGGAATGGACAAATACCGTTGGACCATAGCTTGGTTAACACCATATATGGAAACCCATGTAAAATATCCTCCTACGGCAAGATTCCAAACGGTGTGGCGAACTGTAGGGTCTGGATTAAAGCTGCATGAAGAATTATTGCACTGTTTTTATATGACCTAACCACGTAATGTTAACGTTCAAAAACAATAATCGTTAAGCGTCTTGAAATAGAGACTTATGTCTGTTTTTGTTGATAAATGAAACCTACATAATGTGATATTTACACTGTGTCCTCCACAGGAACTCGAACTCTAGATTTTAGCAGTATAAACCCTCAAGCTTACCACTGTGCCGCAGGGTGGACAACATTTACGTCAGAGTACCTGAATTTGTTGAAATTGAGGAATAAAAGTTCTGTGACATCACACATTGAATACAGAAACCTATCCAATTCATATTCCAGAAATGAAATACAGTGATACATATTAGAAGGGTGATTGTTCATTGAAACACAATTTATATACAGATTTTAAGTGTCATGTAGTGTGATTAAGAATCATTATTCATGAATATCGTAGTAGATGTTTACCCTTACTTGAAAAATTCTATTCTCTGCCCATCTAAGTTTTTTTGCCATACATTAGCCCAGCCTCCTTCATCTGCGGCTCCTTTGAATACAACAACAAACATGGCAATGAACATCATGGTTACTTGGAAAAGGTCAGTCCACACAACAGCCTTTATGCCTCCCTAAAAAATAAATAAGACAGGATTAACAAAAACATTTCCTATATACTTAGGCTAATATCCATAGCATATATTTTCCTGTAACTTACCTTTATTGTACAGCAACTTAAAAGAAACATAAGACAAATGTGTTGAAAGGCATCTTTCATGAAAGCCAATTTTATCTAAAGTACAAAGCTACACAATAAGTTATCTGTGCTATGCCCACTGCGGGTATCGAAATCCGATCTTTAGCGTTATAAGCTCACTGATCTACCACTGAGCCAAATAAGGAAAAAAGTTTGTTTTATCTTACTGTAACTTAGAATATTATACAGGATGGTCCAGAATTATATTTCCTATTTTAGAATTTAATAATTAAAGAAATCGAACCACGTGGTTTTCAATATATTATAGTCCAACTCAAACAGTTTTTATTGTAATGTTTTTTCACTCCAGTGAGTAGTGTTAACCCGTAAAATGGCAACTATGCAAAAAAGGTTCAATGCGTCGTTTGGCTTGCAGAGACCAAGGCAGTGAGTGTGGTGCAGTGTAATTACAGACGTCAGTACAGGAAAGAAGTATTGGGGGTATGCTAAGGATATCGTGTATAGCACACATCACGGAGCTAAGGACCAAGATAACGGACCAAAAAATTTTCGAAATATGTAATGGTTCCTTTATTATCATTGCAACTAAACACCACCGAAACCCCTCCGCTACGGTCTTGGTTGTATCAGCAGATAATATTATTACTCTTTGCTTTACACGTGTACTTCCGTCTTTTTATTTGCTGCCCATGCTTAGTCTCTTCTCTGTGCAACTTTCTATGAACCTTGTAGATGTAAGACAACCTGAATACCACCAGAATTTATACGTATCGCACATTTTATTTAAAAAAAGCGCTTATACAGTATGCATAAAACAAATTTGGAAACACAGAAATATCCTTATCTCAACATATCTTTGATGAAAAATTCTTTAAGATTACCAAAACAGAACAAAAACATTGCAGTTTGATTCCATTTAATAAGCACATTGATAATGACCAGTTTTAAGTGTAAAAACTTACCACTGCAGTGTAGAAAGTGCAGACCAGACCAATAGACAATACAGCTGACCAAACAGAGATTCCAGTCACTGTGTAATCAGAATGTGTACAGTTAGTATAAGTTTTATGACTAATAGTTGTTAGCGAAAAAACTCGATTGAAAAAAAAAGAAAGAATAAAACTAAAAAGAAATATAGACGATTTAAAGTCAAGAGAGACATTTTTGAAACAGTGTTCATATCCCCACTCGTGGTACACGTGTTCGGGTTCCATTGCGAGTGTTATAACGGGGCTTGTGTTCGGGTACGGGCTAGGCAACAAATATTTTGACTAATTAAATTAAATTAATACCATTATTTGAATTTCGAATGTATTTCAGTTCTTGTTTTTTTTATTGAAAATCTAATAAAAAATCAATCATTCTAGGAAGAGGAAAAAAACAACATAACTGAACTAGATATACTTCTAACCAAACTCTGAATTCTCTTGAGATTCATATTAATATAAATGTATATATATCCCACTCTTAATATCATTATTTTAAAGTCACAGAGCATTTTGTACAACAGCAAAAAAAAAGTGGTTAAGGCACTCGACTCGCAATCTGAGGGTCGCGGGTTCGAATCCCCATCCCACCAAACATGCTC